ACGCACGCACACACACACATACACACACACACACACGCACGCACAGTCTTTCCGCTGGGATGCTGTTTTCCACTCAGGTTTAGTCCTTTTCTCGTGTACTTCTTTCCTTTGCATTGTACTCTCACGTAACAGATTTTATATGACATTTTTCCACTGCAAGTATCATAAAACCCTTAATAAAACTAAATTAAAACTAGCCGTGGCTAGATCTAGTAATTTGCTGACTAGAGATGTGAGCATATCTCTCTATTTATTTCTATCAAAACCTCACCACCTGTCTTTATCTCTCTCTGTAGGTGGTTGGCGGGTGCTCTGGTATGGTTTGCTCCCTCTTTCCTATTGCCCCCTTCATTTTTTGTTTGTTACTCACTTGTAACATCTCTAATCTTGGACACTAATATGACTTAATATATGACTTAATTGTGTTGCCAAAGCCGTAAAACACATACTGAAACATTTAAAAAATGTTTCTCTCTGACTGTCTTATGTTACTCTCTTGTAACATCTCTAATCTTTTGGCACTAATAAATATGAATTATTTTTGTTACAACTTCTGTAAAACTCAAACTCAAGCAAGTTTCTCTCAATGACTCCCCTCCGGTATTTTGCCTTCAGCACTAATATGACTCATTTGTATTGCAAGTGCTGTAAAACTCAAACTCAAACTAGAACAATTTTCTATCAATGACTCGCCGCCAGTCATCAATGACTCACAGTTGTCTTTTGTCTTCGTTACTGATATAATAATATAATGTATATGTGTTGCAAGTACTGTGAAACTAACACTAAAACAAATTTCTATTAATGACTCATCGCCTGTCTTTTGTCTCTCCCAACAGCTGTGTGCCAAGAACGAGGAGGGCCAGAGCAAGTGGAGTGAGACGGTCTGCTACAAGACGCAGCCGGAGCGCCCTCAGCCTCCCAGCAAGCCGCAGATCAAGGGCAACATGAACCCTTACTCCTTCCGCATTGTCTGGGGTGAGGAGGAGTGGAGATACAATTGTGCCAGAGTTATACGACAGAATTATACCAGACCACTGTCAGAATAGAGAAGTAGTAGCAGCAGAGGTAGAGAATTATACCACTGTCAGAATAGAGAAGTTTTAGTGGCAGAGATAGAGAATTATACAACTGTTTATGTAGACAAGTAGGAGTTATGAAGATAAAGAATTATATCACTGTTTATTTAAAAAGAAGTATAAGTTATGGACATGGAGAATTATACCACTGTCTATATAGCGAAAAAGATTGTACCTCTATTTATACAGAGAATTAAGAGGAGAGGAGATACAGAATTATACCACTGCCTATAGTGAGAATAGTCAGGGAGTTATAGAAATACCGTTGTCTATATAGAGATATTGTAGAAGGGGAGGTAGATCATTGTCATTATTATTATTATTATTGTTATTATTATTATTGTTGTTGTTATGCAAACTCCCGTAGATTCTATGTTCTTGTTTCTGTAGTTGATGAGCACTGGCGTGTGGTTTCAACATACTTTTTTTTTTCTGTAACGGGCATCTTCGTCATTGTCCTGGTGAAATATCATGAATGGTTGGCTTCTACTTTAGTGTGGTTTATTCTTTCTTTTCTATCAAATATCTGTTCTCTTTATCACTTTGGCGAGTGCCCTGGTGCTGTTTCCTCCTTCTTTCCTATCAAATATTATTTGTTCTGATCTGTCCTTTTTTGGTGTTTGTTACTCCCCTGTAACACCTCTAATCTTCGACACTTATATGACCACATTATGTTGCAAGTGCTGTAAAACTCTTTTCTGAAACTAAACTAAACTCTGTGTGTTGTGCAGATGCTCCCAATGACACGGGTGGGATGGAGATCACCAAGTACATAGTGGAACTGGACGATGGTCAAGGTGAGATTGAAATCCTTCTCCTCCCCCTCCTCCTCCCTCCTCTCTCCTCCCCCTCCTCCTCCTCCTCCTCCTCCTCCCTGTTGGTAGTTGCCCGATGCTCTAGTTTGATTTGCTTCTTCTTTCCTATCAAACATCTATCGTCTATATGTCCCCTTCTCCTTTTTTTGTATGTCACTCTCAAGGTATACCTCAAGTCTTCAGCACGTGTATAACCTGTTTGGCAATGCTGTAAAACTCACTAAAACTAAAATCTTTTGTACCAATTTGCCCGGGGGGCAGCTTTCGAAATGATCTGTATATTGCAAGTAAGGCACTGGACTTGAACAAAAATGAATGGCAAGAGCAGCTACTTAATGACGGTCTGACGAGTCAGTTGGGTGGTTCGTGGATGCTCGTGTGTTGTTTGCTCCTTCTTTCCTATCAAACATCTATTGGCTTTATCTTTCCTCCTCCTTTTTTGTGTTTGTTACTCTCTTGTAACTCCTCTAATCTTCCTAATTGTGTTGCAAGTGCTGTAAAATGCAAAACTCTATAAACGCTTACTAAAACTAAAAGTAAACGACAGCCTGACAGGTCAGAGTTCACTGTTTTACTTAATTTCATGGTTGCGTAGTTACGAACACAAAGCCTTGATCATAAATTTTCCAATATTGGTACATAAGTATGTTTTAAGCAAACTGCTTTCTTATTTCTGTCTATGCAACAGAGGGAGGTAACAACTGCTTTGAAGATTTTGTTTTTTGTATCTCACTGATTTGTATACGTGAGGTGTAGTTTTGTGTAAACCATTTTTATCATTTCACAAATTTCTATTTTGCTACACCTCCTGTTTGTATATTGTGAAGCATTTGTTTTCTGTTTGTTATGTTTTAAATATTGTTGCCCCCCCACACACACACACACACACAGACACACACACATTTACTTGCGTGCATGCCATAAACCGAAAACACATGTGTACACAAACACATACTTTTTCTTGTAAACTCTATCCGTTATGAATGTTGTTTTTCGGCCATTAGTATAGTTCTTACCCCTGTCCTATTTGTTGTCATTCACTCAGACAAATTTAACGGCATTGTCAATTGAGTGTTCAGTTTTTAAGAAACTCTTCATCAGCATATCTCTTTTTTTTTGTCACCGTGTTTCTTTGCGTTCTTTTTTTCACCAATTTCTCTTTTTATTAAGTACGCTTCATGGCTGTAACATGGTTGTCTTAAAAAGAATATTTGCAGGAAAGATTTCAAAGACTAGTTCGCATAATTCCTTCTTATATAACTCATTTATTTTCAAATTTATTTTGAGATGAAGAATATCTATGGTTTTATTGTTGGGTTGACTTACTACGTAATAAGACTTAAAGAAAAGTGGAGAGATTGTGCATTACTTTTATGTGATTACTCAGTGTCTTCTTTCCATTAGTTTACTTGTGTTCTGTTGAAGCATAAATCTACATATGAAAACACCTACCCTGGTGCACGCGCACATGCACATACACATGCAAGCGTGACACATACACCCATACAGACATATGCACAGAAATAGACAAACACATATACTCAAACACACACTCAAACACACACTCAAACACACACACACACACACACACACACACACACACACACACACACACACACACGCAAACTTAAGTATAGATGTTCGTGTGCTCTTGATATGCTGTCATGTTGTCACTGGTGTTCAGTTTTTATTTGGACTGTTATTTGACTGATAAGTCTCAAATTCAGATAACTGCAATTCTTTTTTCCTCTGAGATAAAAAGAACAATAAACAAGATAACCAGTCTTATAATATCTGTAAAAGACCATTCCTCCTTTGTATGGAACTAACTTTGCCATCAAAGTTTACAGCATCATAAACCTCCCTATAACTTCACTCCTATGTAACACATTTGCAGAAAATAAACACCAAATGGAATAAAAATGAATGTTGGAAGTGGATGGTTGGTGGGTGTTTTGATGTGGTTTGTTCCTTTTTTCCTGTCAAACATCTATCATCCTGATCGGCACTCCTTTTTTGTGTTTGTTACTCTCTTGTAACACCTCTAATCTTCGGCACTTGTATGACCTTATTGTGTTGCAAGTGCCGTAAAATACTTACTAGACGAAAAGAATAATGGAAGCTATAAACATACAGATATCAAGAATTGGCAGGGATTTGTAGATTTTTGTTACAGCTCTAAACAATCGAGAGATGCAGTGAACCAGCTGTATTAGTACACCACAGTTTACTCAAATAGTTCATATCTGAATAAATGCTGTTCAAAATCCATCTTGTAACTGTAAGGATGAAAAGTTCCATGCATAGCATCTTCCTCTAAGTAAGCCAAGAATGCATTAGGTGGTTTTTTTGTTTTTTTTTGTTTTAGCTCTGCACAATTTTTATGAGAGTTTATTATTTGTGAGGCAGCGTGGTGGAATCAGGCTCTCGTCAAAATAAGCAAAAGGAAGAAACTTGCTTTTTTCCACAGGTTTTTGAATTTTTATTAAATTTTTGTTTTTTGGCTCAACACCTTTCATGCCCAATAAAGAATTCATTTCTGTGTGAATTTTTCTGAAAAACGTAAATTTTCAGTTACCATGGACTCTTAAGCTAAGGAAATAATAAACTTAGGCGGCCATTTTCTCACTAATTTTACCTCTGAAAACAAGTGACCTTCACCTCCTTCTTTTGTAAATATCTCTACTTGTATTCAAGATAAATGGATACTTTTTTCGTCCAAATAAAGACAAGTGAACAAGCTTTAAGATGATAGCAATAACTCTACAAGCTCAAATATTGGCGAGAGCCTGCTTCCACCACGCTGCCTCACATTTAGAAAGGGTTTTAGAAACGTTTTCTTATTTCCTGGTGAATGCTTTGCGTTTGATTATTGTGTAGTGTATATCTCTTCTATCGAAGTAGTAACAGAAGACTGACTTCTGTTTCTTTCCCGTGATTGTTCCTGTAAATTTCTGCCTTCTATATATTTTTTAGTTAAACCATTCTAATTTGCTAATTAAAATCAAGCTGTGATGTAAACTAAAATAAAAACAACCAGCTTTTGTTGGGCATGCTCATATGACCTTATGCAGTTGTGAGCACGGTATAACTTTTTCCAAACCGTCTATCCTACTTTCTTCCCTCTCTTAAGTGACTGAAATTGTGTTGGTGTCTTTCCTCTTAACTCAAACTAACAAAACAATGTTTTGTAAAACTCTTCCTGTTGATGGTTGACGTGTTCACTGGTGTGATTTGCTCCTTCTGTCCTGTCTTTCATTAGTACGTTACTACTTAGTCACACTTCTAATCTTTGGCACCTAAGTGACATAATTGTTTTGCAAGTGCTTTAATTCTCTTGCTAAAACAATGTCCAATCTTTGTAGTTATATGATGTTATTGTGTAGCAAATGCTGTAAAACTCTTGCTAAAACAATGTTCAATCTTCCCAGGCTATGACACTGTGTACGAGGGCTCAGAGAGGGAACACATGTTTGACCACTTGATACCTGGGCACACGTACAGGGTCCGTGTCGCCTGCTGTAGTGGAGGGGGACGGAGTGATGTGAGTACTCTTGTGTGTGTGTGTCTGTGTGTGTGTATGTGTGTGTGTGTGTGTGTGTGTGTGTGTGTGTATGTAGATGTGTGTGTGTGTGGGCACACACATGTTTGTCTGTATCCCCAGTTTTTGGACTGCGTTGTTGCCACCATGCTACCTGTAGTCATTCATCCTGAATGTTTCTATGTGTGTATAATGAATAGTGAGCACAATAGAGAGCAGGTGGTTGGAGGGGGCCACTGGTAGGTTCTACTTCTTTACTTTTTCTCTCTGTTGTTTCTGACTAGTGCACTCAAACAAGAAACAAACACAATAGAGAGTAACAAAGTTTTAGAAAAAGAGAACCTTTATATATTTGAATATATTATATTAAAAATCCTTGCCAGGAAAGCATTTGACATCCTCTTTATCTTTCCTCTCGTTATTCTATACATTGCAACTCTCTTGAACATGAAATCTGCTCTACATGAAGAAATTCTCTGGTATTTTTTTTTCCATCAAAAGGAAGGCAAATAAACAAGCTTAAAGTTGTTACCAATAACTCCTAGTGTCTAAAAATTGATTGGTGCCTGATTCCACCTCGTTGTGACACACACACACATGTCAAACGCTCAGTGTAAGACAATGTTATACATCACTTTTCAAAGTGGTGTATGGTGGAGTCTTTCATTAAGCAGTGGCTATGTGTTTGTGTGTAGTGCATGTATTACCCCCCGGGGCGGTGCTACTGACTGAAATGTCTTTAGGCCATTTCCAAAGGGGGTATATTAATATGTTCTCATGAACAGTAGAATTGTAAATTGTAAATTGGCTGATTCATCAATGTCATGCTCATAACTGTACCTGAACTGCAACAGGGAATTGCAGTTTTTTCTTTCCTAACCCTTACTATCGTCATGTTTCCTCTACTACTTTTTGTATGTTTGTCACACTCTTGTGACCCGCTATTTCCGGGGTGCCTTGATAGTTGAAATAGACTTTATGCTGTTGAAGCAAGAGAGGTGAGCAGAGTAAGCCCGATTCCCTGTAAGGACTTCTCTGTTGACATCCACTCCTTGGCGCTCATATGATCTTATGCAGTTGCGAATGCCGAAAAACTGCTACTAAAACAAAACAGAGAGTTGAGCAGAGTAATCCTGATTCCCTGAAAGAACTTCTCTGTTGACATCCACCCCTAGGCGCTCATTTGATCTTATGCAGTTGCGAGTCGTTTAAAACCTCTACTGAAACGAAAACTGTGTATGTATGTGAACATGTCCCTCTTTGTCCGGTCCCCAGTTTTCAGACTGCTGTATCGCCACCATGCTGCCTGTAGCACCAGGCCAGTGCCAGGCCCCCAAGCTACAGGGAAAACCCAAGGCCACAACCTTACACCTCCGCTGGGGTGAGTACCTGCCACA